TGTTGTTTTTATCATTATTTACTTTTAAAATATAGTGTTTGAATGAAATTAAAATACCCTTCGATAATCATGAATACACTTCAGAAAGCCTTACCCTATTACCAATCTTGTAAATATATATTAAATTAGAGATCTGCTTTTTGAAAAGGAAATAATATAACATTTATTAGTGTTAAGAGGCATATTGTTCATGATTGACCAAAAATGAAGTCCATCAAAATCTGATTGAAGTTCACAAAAATCGCGTTCTAAGATTTGACAGTCCTATATTTTCCTTCTATGAAATGAGTAAATATGCAAATTAGGTAAAGAAAGACATTCTGATGTTATTTTCCTTCAAAAGAGGAAGAAAGCAATACCGTTACCTGAAGAGAGATAGTTTTATAATGTTTTCAATGAATAAAAGAGAGATAGGTATGCGATAAATTTTCTGCGTTATAAACAGAGAGCGATTTATGTTTATTTACTAGAAAGAGGGAGACAGAAAGATATTTTCACTAAATGGTATTTTGAATATTATATGTATATATATAATATGTAGAAACAGAAACGAGAGGCCTGCTCGAGTACCTGGTCTATTGTTCGAAGGGTTTCTTTCAACCAGTGGGCAGTCTATTGAGTAAGCAGAGAGAGAGAGAGAGTATGAATTATTGAAAATAAAGAAAAATGGAAAAATTGCAAACAAACAAATAAGAGAAAACTAGAAATGAACATTTTTAATTAAATTGTATTAAGAAAACCTTCATCTTTCTTTCTTTCTTTTTTTAAATAAACTGAAATTGTATTTAAAGTAGTATTGTAGCCTACATTATAATCATTAAATAGAAAGTAATTTTTCAACAGTAGATGAGAGTGTAATTGAAAACAAATTGCAACTCTACATATGGGGCATTCCACGCCAAGTCGGACACCTTTTGACTTTTGCATCTCCGATTTTTTTCAAATATTTTTTTTCTTTTAGTGCTGGTTGAAAGGAACTTCCATGATTTTTTTCAAATTTTTTCATGAAGTAATTTAAGAGATCTGGGGTTTTGAAAAATCACGTTTTTTACATAAATTTTTTTTTTTAATGCTTATAACTCGGACAAAAATTGATCAAATTGGACGTTCGATATATGAAAATTTTTGTTTTTACACGTAGTTTTTGATAAAAATATTAAAAAAAATTTTTTTTTTAATTTACCAAAAAAATTTTAAATTTTAAAAATAAAATTTAATTTTTAAGAATGTATGTATCGATCGATTTTTTTCAAAATTTTTTGTAAGAAACTGGTACTAAATTAAGAATTTTTAATCCTTGTCTGATTGTGGGCAAACGATGGGATCTATTTATTTTGAAATTTTTAATTTTTGTAAAACGGTAGGTAGCCAAATGCCTAACTTGCAATTTGATCAAATCACTTTTTTAAACAGTAAGAAGGTTAAGTTCGGAGAGACTCAGTCTGAAAACAGTTTTGGTTTGAAAAATTTGCGTGATTTGGTCAAATGTCAAGTTACGCATTTGGCTACCTACCGTTTTCACTGCGTATACAAAAATTAAAAATTTCAAAATAAATAGATCCCATCGTTTGCCCACAATCAGACAAGAATTAAAAATTCTTAATTTAGTACCAGTTTCTTACAAAAAATTTTGAAAAAAATCGATCGATACATACATTCTTAAAAATTAAATTTTATTTTTAAAATTTAAAATTTTTTTGGTAAATTAAAAAAAAAAATTTTTTTAATATTTTTATCAAAAACTACGTGTAAAAACAAAAATTTTCATATATCGAACGTCCAATTTGATCAATTTTTGTCCGAGTTATAAGCATTTAAAAAAAAAATTTATGTAAAAAACGTGATTTTTCAAAAACCCAGATCTCTTAAATTACTTCATGAAAAAATTTGAAAAAAATCATGGAAGTTCCTTTCAACCAGCACTAAAAGAAAAAAAATATTTGAAAAAAATCGGAGATGCAAAAGTCAAAAGGTGTCCGACTTGGCGTGGAATGCCCCATATATATTTTTGTGTCCATAATGAAGAGTCATTTATTTCCAGTTCCGGTGAACTTGTACATAAAACCCGCATGACTCAATTAATATATCCATATGTATAATGTGAAATGATATTCAATAATTTTATATTGTAACAGCTAAATCGAGAGTGAATTGTCAAACAATATATATATATATATATATATATATATATATATATATATATATATATATATATATATATATATATGACCATCATTTATTCGTTGACTAATAATTTAATTATGCTACTTTGATATTGATTATTTGAATTTATATTATTTGTATAATATATGCACAACGAATAACAGTGAATGTTTACTTTTGATAATTTTGAATCTTGTGAAACAATTTAATGAAATGGTTTGTACAGGAATTTCACATTTGTAGTTCAAACAGCATAAGGAGATTGCGAGTAGTGCAGGAAGAGGCTAAGAACACAAATTAATTACAGAATATTATATTGTTTGCAGACAATTAATTAGTTTTTGAGTGTTCCCGTATCCGTAATTACTATGCGAGCGTCCTCTGTGAATATGACATTAAATTGCAATTACGATTTCGGTTCCAGATGAAATCTAAATTAGTAATAATAATAATTTGCATTATTTTATTATTCTTGACATATTTTAATAATAATATAATTGATGTTATGGTAATGTTAATTATGAACTAAATGATAAATCTCTGCTTGCTGTTTTCATTGTTATCTTTCATAGACTTGTTGAATCAGTTTGTAACATTTTTTTTTGGGTTTCATATACATTGAAGATGTACTAAGAGAATTCTTATTATTAAGGAATAGTGATATTATAAATTGCTTGACATAATTTATATTTCTAATTAATAATTTAAATAGTTTTAATAAAATGTTACGCGTTTTGTTTATGGACATATAGATAAATTATTTCTTGTAAGTGTCCTTTTCAATCCATATTTGTCATCTGTTTACCGGTAGCGGGTGACCTTATCTTAAACTCTTATTTCTGACTGCTGACTAATAACCGCATTGAACCGAACTGGATCGCGTTGAACTGTGTAACTGTCTCTGTCCTTGAGTGGTGCCATTATTTATGGGTAACAAGTGAGACTTTTTTACAAGGTACGATTCAAAAACTAGATCGAAACCACTTGCTCTTATGTTGCGATTGATGCTCTTCAATAATTTCAAATCCAAGCTTTCGGGTGCTTTTATCTATATGCGTTTGTTATTAATTTTAGTTTTTTCACATTTATAGCGGTGTGCTTGAGTTATTACATTTTTTATTACCTTAAACTTTGAATTTATACATTTAAGGGTAGTTTTTTCGATTTAAAAAAAACAGAGGGTGATGGAGCCATTCTGACTTCATATTCGTTTTCAGCGGGCAAAAAAAACTATAAGACATGTAGGTCTGGTTCAATAAACAGACCACATTTATTTTTTTCGATTGCCTGTATTTTTAAACAATGAAAAAATAACCGACAAAGTTGTCCCTTTTCTAAAATTGCGTTTTTTAATTAATAAACCTGATTTTTTTGCAAAGTTAATGGTTGGATGTGACTTTATTGAGTTATTTGAAGCAAAAAAAAAAAAAGAAAGTAGACATAAAAGAATTTTTCAAGGGACTTTATTGTGAATAATCTTAGGAAATATTGAAATTTTCATTTCTAAAAAAAACGAAATTAAAAATTGTAATGCGAATTTCTCTGGTTCTTCTGGGAAGTTATTCAAATAAGAGTTGTTTTAAGTTTAGTTCACCCTTAAGATGAAAAATCAAAAGGTTTTAAATTTTTCCGCAACCTCCATTTTGAAACAGAAACAACTTTTGCAACAAACCGACAAAGTGGCCCCTTTTCATTTTTTTCTCCAACAACGAAATAAAATACTTTAAGTATCACTAAATTAATGAAAAATACATTATTTGACGTGTGAGACCCTGTAGATTAAGAAAAAAGAATAAAAAAGATTCGATATTTTTTTCAAAATTACTAAATCGCAATTATCTCGGTATCTAGAACCGACAAAGTATGGTCCCTTTTCATGTGGACGTCCACATCAATAATTAAACTTTTTTTCTTTCTTAAAATAAATTTTTACTTCAGTTTTAGAATACTTTTGAAATACTTGAAATTAAATTATTATTATTATTATTATTATTATTATTATTATTATTATTATTATTATTATTATTATTATTATTAAATATTAATGTTTACATGTATGAAATTGCTTTAATCTTTTTTATCAGTTTACTTCGTTATAACCTATAAAAGTATGAATTTATGCATTTTTAGTGTTAAATGGGTCCATGGTGTAACAGTTATGCTCTTATAGGACGAATAATATACTCTAAAAGAATCAACTTTGTTGAAATGGTTGAAAGCGGAGTATGAGATCTAGTCCTCCTAAAATTAAGAGTTTTATTCCTTTTGGTGCTGACGCTCTTGCAACGCAAGATTTGTCTACACCTACCTTCCCCTTCCAGCCACCGATAGAAAGCATATGAAAACATCTCACGTGCTCTGTAAGTCACAATACATTCACATACCTGATACACGGAAACACCTCGACCATAGTTTCTCGCGCGCGTTATATCGGTGGCTGGAAGGGGAAGGTAGGGAAAGGTGTGGCCAAATCTTGCGTTGCAAGAGCGTCAGCACCAAAAGGCATGAAAGGAGGATGTTAAAAAAAGGTTGATTTTTGCCCTCGAAGCGAGAAGCAAAATGAATTCTAATAGAATTTGAGCTCAGGAATCAAGTAGTAACCTTCATTTCCCCTCATACCCTCGGGAAAGTGGTGAAAATGAAGAAAAATAAGAATTAAGTTAGAAGAAGAGCATAAAGGATAAAAATTCTCTTTTTGCGCAAGTCAGTTAGGAATCATTGTTCTAAAGTCACTTGGGAGTCACTGGAAATCCGTCTAAAGTGAACAGACCCTCATATTAGTGTTTATAACTTATGTCAAACTTTTTAGTTCTATTAAATTAAATTCTGTTGAATAGATTGCAAATTTGAAAATCGTCGATATCAGGAGGGTGCTGCGGTCACAACTTCGGGACCCTGTTTACAGTGTAAATGTTCAGAAGGATCGTTACGATGTAGATTGCGTGTCTGTCCACGACTTCCAAATCCACCACCACCAGGATGTCGTGCCCGACCGCCTGGAGAAAACGCCTGCTGTTCAGAATTAGTTTGTGGGGAATCAGGTTAGTACGAATACTGTCAATCGATTCATCTAATTCTAAATTCGTCAAGTAAAATTAAATCAGCAATTGTTACCGATTTAAGAAAACAAAATTTCAATCACTTTCAAATGATTTAATTTTAAAAATTATTTTTACAACAAACCATTGGATGTTTGACTCTTCTAAAATTACAACAAACATTTAATGGTGACAAATAATGCTTAAATTATCGATTACTTCAGGTCTTTACAATTGGCTAAAAAAATTGACAATTTGTTTGAGTACCGGTGGCAATTGATTTAATCATTTGTTAATTGATTGACAATTGACTTAGCAATTAGTTGTTTTTGTAGTTGGTCTTGACAATTTATTTTTCGACAAATTGATTTGAAACTTAGGGAGAACTTTTCTAAAATAGTTTAGTTTAATAAAACAAAACTTCCTTAAAGACAATAATTCAAATGTAAAGAAAAACATATAGTTTCCATTTGAAAAGAGTAAACGAACTGATAACCAACATCACTAGAGTGAAAATATTTTCTTTGAATACGGGACACTAACAATAAGTATAATTAATAGCTGTACGATGCAAATTAAACGCTCTTCACTGGAAGATAAAAGACAATAATAATCGATTATATATAGATTGATCAGACTTTCAAATGACAAATACGAGCATGCATAAAATATGCCCAGGATGTGATGCTAAGGGAGGGGGCGGTAGAGAAGGGAAGATATTCGCTTCGATGGTTGGTTTTTCGGATGAAGATTCCCAGTATGAATTGAATTCTCCCGCGAGACTAAAGTTAGGCGTTGAAATTCAAAATTTATTCCGAGCAAACGGTTTGCAGAAGCGGAAAATGATTGGATGTCTATTAGGTGCTGGAATTTTGTCGAATAGAAAATTGCTGAATTATTAAAGCCTCGATATCCTATCCGAGAAACTGATTTACATTGCATCTTGATAAAAGGATTCCGGAGAATATTTCATCCCTATATATATATGTATATGCAATATATATATATATTTGAACTTTGATAGCATTCTAGTTCACTTTGCGGAATGTTCATTGCAATCAGAGAAGTTGAAATAACTTGTTCTATGTTTAAACGTTTAGTTATATGTATATATTCTACTCTCGTGCCACTGACAGAAAGAAAATTGAAATGTAATAAAGACATAAAAGTAAGCAAATATTTGCCAAAAGCAAATTTTAGATTCAGTTACTTGAAGTCAAATGGATTTTGTTAAATGCAAATTTTATGTAATAGAAATGAAAATAAATGTACTGAATAAGGTCACAGATTATCTCAAGGTTTATAAGGAATCTATAAACCTTGCGTATCTTACATTACAAGATAATTCCACACGCCTTGGTTGAAAGTAATTCACACTATGCTAATCATAAGTTTATTTAATTACTGGTAATTAATTACCAACCGACCGAAAATTTTCAAACAACAATTAAGATTGTTTGTCAAGAGACTGATTATTAACACGACTGGCAACCACCTGTCAAAGATGTTGGGCCTGTGATCATGCTGCAGGGGCGAACCCAAGGTGCGCATGACCTATATATATACGGGACCGAAGCATGCTGTCACTAGTTCGTGCCTGGCTGCCGAGTAATAGAAACGGTAACACCGCGGTCAACCATATCAATAAAGATTCACTAATAAAGATGGATTACCGTGTATTATTGGACCAGATAAAAGATTAGTGCTTAGGACATCTCTTCTTCGTTATCGTGGCAGTAACGCCAGTGTACGGTGATGCTGAGAAATAACTTTGGAAACAGGGACCGCATGGCAAAACGACAGGACACCACCATTTTCGATCTACAAACGATTATCACCGGCGCGGCGTGTGGAATTTCTCATTCTCTTCACTTATTTAGTGTGTTAAATAAAATTGTTAATATATAAGTACAGTTATTGTGACATATTTTTAATCTTGATTTATTTGTAATTCTTAATTGGTTTATTACTCTAATTTTGTGTAAATTGTACTTTATAAACATTAAGTAATTATTAAAGTTAAAAGATTGTTTAAATCCATTGTGCTTGCTCTGCATATTTCTGCCCTCTTCTGACGATTATCAACAATCTCTGATGGTATAACATTTTTAACATAAAAAATTGTAAACCTGTACAATCAAATTTCAATAATCTTCTGATAGTAAATACTACAATCTAGATAACTGTTCGTATATGTAGCATTTAAGATGATCACCGTAACCATCACTATATTACCCACTACTATAAATTTCTCTCCGTGTATTTCTCACATTCCAGAATAAATTTACCGTTAACTTGGGGCTATTAGGCTATTAGGAACAGATTTCAACTTTAGTCTTGCAACTTTTTTGTGTATTGAAATATTGACTTAAGTTTTTGTTTCTTTTCTTGATCTTGGCGAGCACATTGAAGAATTGTTTTGATCAAAGCTGGAATTTTAAGCAAAAAATACGAAAAAGACGCATTTTTTAAAAATTACAAAATGGAGCTATTAGGAACAAGGCGGTAAAAACCATTGGAAAACGTATTTAAAGTTAAAGAAGTTATTGTTTATTGTATGAAAGTACAAACACAATTTAAAACCAATGTAAAAACGAAGCTAAAAGAGCGAATGTGTGTTTTAAACGTTGCTGGTATCATCAGTTAAGGTCGATGATGGAGTCACTAGCCGTTTATTGCGACTTGTCGGTTCCAACACTTTTTTACAATTTCGAACCATCTATGAACACTAAAACAAAAATTAGGTGATTAAAAACAAAAGAAATTATTGTGTTCCTTATATAGCCCCGCCGTTTGTGAATTTGGTTTTTGTCTCATAAATCTTACTGTAAATACAAAATAAACATATTTATTACTTAGTAAACTTAGTAAAGTTTCCCATAAGAAATCCCTTTAATAAAAAACAATCACTTTGAGAAGTTAAAACATTAACAACTTACCTCGGCAATCAAATGTTTTCCACGTTTGAAACTTCACTAAAATACATGATGTCACTTACAAGCTACTACTGTTCACAAAATAATCAATAGTCACAATTATTGAATTATATTGCCAGTTACCACAGCAACAATTTTTTAAAAGCAAGTAACATAATTTATCGATACACGGCGCCGATAGCATCAACTCCACTCGAAAACAGAGTTTTGTTCCTAATAACCCCAGTTTTTTTATACTTTAATAATTTTAAAATCAAACAATATGTATATGTACTAAGTACTTCAAAAAAGGACATTCAAGTGCATCAAAAAACTTATCTAAATAAATTAAGACTCAAAAATAATGATCGAAAAACTTAAAAATCTAAAGAACGTTTTTTTCGGACACCTCTAAAAACACTTGACTGCCTCTGATACCATGTTGAAAGCATGAAACTAAACGAAAGTTCGTTAACATAAGTTGAATGTTAAGTACTATTCATAGTATCGATATCTCCATCACTCCATCTGAAGTTGAGTTCATAGCGTCAAATCGCTAGTGACCGGATTTATCCTGTGACTAACCTTACCCCAGTCTCCCCTACTATTAAGGATTCTAATTAAACAAGTGTTTTCTTTAGTTTTCCAGACATTGACTGTAGTTATCAAAACTTCTGTTAATATATAAATTCGACATAGAATTGAATCATAAAAAATTATTAACAATTTTCCAAACACAAATATTATAGTATTACCTCGCCTAATTATTTTGATTTTGTTAATAATAATTAATTATTCAAAACCCGTAAACCTTTATTTGGAGCCCTTTATTCCCCTTCCTGAACTGTCGCTCCATCTCTGTCGCTATTGCGAGTTATAGTCCATTCCCTGCGGATATCCTACGTAAAGTAGTTAAAAGCGGAATATACAAAACATCAAATTAAAATACATTGAAGCCTTTCTGCTTTCTTGTGGTGGGTGACAACTGCGAGCTTCATCCCTCGCTTGTTGGATACAAGGACCGTCAACTTCCTGCTTTCTGGCTTCTTAAGAGCCTGGATAAGACAATTCAAGTCGCGGATCTCAAGAGTGTGACTTTTCGATCCACCGATTGCACCTTACTCATGCTTCCGACCGCCTTGGTAACTTTCGCAGTGAAAGCCTCCTTGTTGGAGTCCCTTTCGATTTGGATCAGAGGATCCCTTTTTTATAAATCCTATACAAAACGCGTGGTTTTTGTCATCTGCAGGAGATTTTTTAGAGAATCAGTAAACAACTTACCTTCAGCTATACTGTGATCAACATTGTTGATCCTCTTCTTGACATATTTCTCCACTTTGGCTTCGCTGCCTCCTTCACGTCAGTAATCTCATTCCTCAGAGGAAGGATGTAACAAAATAATGTAAACCGTTTTTGTTTTGGAACAAGAGCCAAGATACTTTAACGGATATTATAATTTCAGATATTATCGTTTTGTTTTTAAATTTACATTTAATAACAGATTAACTCGAATAACAAAGAGTGGAAATTAATTCTAAAAGTAGTAAAAACGTATAAATATAAATATGCGAATTTTTTTTGAAATGTGGTTGATAAAAATACGTTGAACTTGTGGAGTTTGTTGCAGATGAGGCAAATGTCCTGCGGCGTATCGATCTTGGAACAGAATCCAGTAATCAAGATGATGGTAAGATTTTATTATAATATAGTTTTTTGTAAATGAAAACTAGAGACTTAGATTGAATTTCTTGTCTACCTGTCACTCTCAGTTTGAAACAGACAATTTACTTCTAATGTTGTTATGACTTCTCTTGATGGATCTTCAAAACTCAATTCAATTGTTAATTGTCAAACTACTTTGAAGAATAATTATAGTAGTTTACAGTCTTCCGATGTGTTTTGAATAAATTAAAATGTTTCTCTGCTTTCAAGATTTGACTATCTTCTTTCAGTATTTTTTAGTAGATGAAACTTAATGAGTAATAACATTTTTACTAATTCAGAAGCAAAAAGTCCGTCACTAATTTAAATTATTAAACATTTTTACTATATAATTCAAGTATAGAGAGCGATTGGGAGCTTAGTCTATAATCTTTTACTAAAATAATCGTTTCCTTTAATTTAAACAACAGTTTTAGTTGACCCCTGACATCCATAAATTTACTTCAAAAAAATTTGTTTAAATTATACATTTATTTAAGTTCCTGTAAGAAAGTAATTCAAAAAATTTTTTTTTCAAATTTATTTGTGGATTTTAGGGATCAATTGAAATGTCCATCAAAATTTTATACGTGGTTATACTATACGGCGGCTCAATTGTCTAAAATTTAAATTAATTTTTATGATCCCAGGTGAAAAAGTTAAAGTTAGCTAATGATACTAACGTTAATCTAACGTTAGTGACTAAAAAATGTCTAGGAACTAATGTTAGGCTAACGTTAGCCTAACGTTAGCTTATCCATCTGGGATTGTACTTTACTTTTCAGATAGTGTGGGAACATTTTTCTAAAATTAGAATTGATTCACATAAAAAATAAATTTTAGAAAAATTAGTAATGTACTATTTTTACAGTAATTTTTAAAGCTTATGAAAGTATGTATGTATATGATACTCCCTCTAAGGAATAAGGATTGTGTATACATTTTTCAGTAGATAAGTTCTATTTTGGTCAGACATTTTATGCATGTTTCTATCTGATACTTCGCTTCGAGCGACTCATGAGCGTAATGGTCTATAAATGCGGAACAAAAATATTTGTAAAAAAAATTTTTAAATAAATTAATTAAAATTTGTTTAACATATTATAATTTAATTTATCAATATTCAATTTTTTTAACAATAGAAAAACCTTTTGATAGGACAAATAACAAATCACTATGCTTTATAACCGTTTCCATAGTAGTTTTCAAAACTATAAATATAAAAAAATTATTTAATAAACAAACAATTTATTAATCCTTCTATGGTTTTATCATTTTTCAATTTTGCAAGAAATAAATTTATAATATTGTTAAAATTAATTTTGACTATTTCATTTTGACTTTGATATTAAATACGGCAAACTATTTAGCTTCAAGTTACTCTGAGAGTTTTATTTATATGACTCTCGAATTAAATTTTTTTAAATAAATAAATGAAAGATACACCCCGTGTATACTCGGGTTAAACCGTAGGGAGGTTAATAAACAAATATTAGTAAAAGATTCAACGTCCGAAACAATAATTTCAATAATGAATATCTCAATATGAAATTTTTTGAAAGCCGACAATTTGGGATAATTTTTAATTCAATAAAATTGAAATGAAGTTAAACTTTAAAGATACAGTTAATTTTTAGGAAATATATGACAAATTACAAAAGTCATTGGATTCTAATTATTATTATAATAATTGATTTAAAGGGTATGTTAACTTTTTATAACAATAAGGGAAGAACAAAATTAATTAACTGTAAATCATTGCAAACAAATATTTTGCAATGGTTTGAAAGACAATATAGAAGGATTTTTAAAATAAATATTCGAATCTGATTCATTATTTTAATGAAAATTAAGAAAATTAAGAAAGCATAAATAATATATTACTCAGTAATGAATGGAGAAAAAGAAAAACCATCCGTCTTGCCTCCCTTCAATTTAGGAAAATTGCAAACACAAAATTACTTTAGAGAGAAAAAGATAATTTATATACTGAGTTCAATTATTCTAAGCACACAAAAAGTTGACCGTCGACGGTGAAAGTAGGATTAAAGGAGAACGATGATAACGATGATTGTCGGCACGCTACACTGCTTCATTAGTCCTTCTTCTCTTCTTCTCGACGGTAGCCCTCTAATATCTTGTATTCTTACGCGAAAATAAGGAGCATAGTGGAGCATAGTTACTGCGAAAGCTATAGGACCTATACTAAAGTGATAGACAGAATAGTTTAGAAAGAAAAGACAGCAATATAAATTTTTACTTAATACTTTTTATATAAAATCAAAAATTAAAGATGACGTTGAAATTGGAATTTGAAATGAAGTTGAGGTTATGTTATGAACAATTTGAATTGTTCAATTGTTGATATTAAACATTTTTATATTTAAATTGGACTGAATTGATACTTGAATATTTTGAAAACTTAAGCCTTGGACGAAAATTTTAAGACTTGAGATTTTTGCGAGAAATTTTTGCTTGTAAGAAATTAATTTTCTAACTCTGTTTTTAAGACTTGAAGAGATTTTTTTAGACTGGGCTTTTCCTTATACGGAACGCGTATATTTACACTGTAAAAAAAGGGAGTTAAATTTTAACTCCCCCGGGGGGTCTATAAAAGTCGCACCCATTGGGGAGTTAATGCCAGGGGAGTTAAATAAAGAGAGTTAAAATTTAACACTCAAATGCTAACTCCCCATAGAAAAAATAACTCGCGCGGGTGTTGAATGAAGGGAGTTAGAAATTAACTCTCTTTTGGAGTTGATTTTTAACTCGAAAAATTTCACTCCCGAGTCCGTTAACTCCCTAAATTTTTTACAGTGTATGTAACAATTCCAACTACCAAATTTCTTAAGGGAGGAAAATTTGTCAAGGGATGCAAATGTTGTAGAAAGGGAAAAAGAGGTTGACAAATTTAAGATTTGTTCAAAGAAAATAGAAAATGGAGAGAAAACTCATTAAAAAAGGGCTTAATTTTCGAATGTTGGGTCCATCCCATTTTTACGCGTAGAGGTTTTACACGAAGGAGGACCTTTGAAAAAGAGGCTGTGACCTTTTCTTTCTCAACTTTATCTCCCCTTCCAACTTCAATTTCACAGATTTTACAAAAATGGCGAATTTTCTTAATTATTTCAACATTTTCTCTAAATTTTAAATTATTAACATAATAATATTCGAATTTTTGTTTAAAAATTGCAATTCTTAACATTAACAATTATAAAATTATTAATTATTTAGTTATTACTGACAATTCGATGAAAATTATATTATTTAACAATTATTAAGTTGATTAGTTAATTAGTACAATATTTGAATATTTATTGTTAATAATTTGTTTAAAAATATATAATTACTATAATTAATGACAATAAAATTCATAATTTCAATATTCAATCAATAATTTGATAATTATTACGATATTTAATAATTATTATAATAAATTTAGATAATTTTGTTAATTAACATAATGTTTAAATATTGATTTTTTATAAATTGTTTAAAAATTAGTATTATTAAAGTTAATAACAATAAAATTAAATTATTTTAATAATTTTCTACTTATTATAACTAATTCTATGAAAATTCTGACTATTATTTTATTATTTAACAGTTATTATAGTTATTTGTTATTAACATTTTATTTAATAATAAATTATGAATAATTTGTTTGAAACTTTCTATTAATTAATAAAATTAATAGTCAAAAATGTAATTTAATAAATACGATTTTAATAATCTTATTGTTGAATTGCTTATTGTTAATTATTTGTTAACTTTACGCTATTAAATTGTTAATAATATTCAGAACGTCAAAATTAATTAATTTGTTTATGTTAATTTTTCTTGGTTCAATATATTTTTAATTTGTTGAAAAAATAATTACTTTGTTAATAAATTTTATTGTTAATTAATAATAATTGATCAGTTTGATATTTTTAATTTTATTATAACAATATAATTTAATTTAAAGATGGTTTTATAGAATTGAATATAATATTTATATAAAGTTTTATAAATAAAATATTTATTTAAAGTTTTCGATATAATTAATCGAAGAGTGTATTCTAAGATTATGATTCGAAATTTATAAATATTGATTTTTGGGTTTACTACAATTTTATTTAAAAAAAGATATTTTGTTGGAAATATTTTTGAATACATAGAAGTTTTGATATTATGATTGTGACGTAACAGTTAACAGGACATTACACTATCACTCAGTTGTCAAATAATTAAAATTGAAGTTAATGATCACGGATCACTAAACAAATTTTTTATCCAAACAAAATTTACACCACTTAATGATTCGATAAACAATTCAAAAATCTTATATATGTTATAATCTTCTTCTTCTTCTTCTTCTTTGATGACTTTAGACTGTGCCAACTGTCAGAACTATAATATATGTTATAATCATATTTAAAAAGTTTTCTAATTCTGATTATCATATTTTAATTAGCTTAGCTTTGTATATACAGATGTTGGTTCTGAACATTTGCGTGATTAACTGTTTAAAAGTTATTCAACAATTTCGCAAAGTTTTAACATTCCCTTACACGCTTTACTTGATTCTTGCCAGTTCTTTTTTGACAATATATTTTTTAAATTCAATAATAAATATTATTAACAAACATATAGTATACCCCTATGGGTTCTTGGACCTCTTGTTTGTTTGCGAACATGGTTATGGACGACTTAGAAACTTCTTGTAATGCAAAACTCTTTTAAACCTTTATTTTCGGAATACTGCTTTACAGTCTAACCTTTCTTTAAGAGTTTAAATGTTAAGTGCTGTTTTTGGATTTATCGTGTCAAAATATATATGGAAATCCGAATCTGCTCTTACAATTCCCTTTTAGGCAAATTTTGATTATTTATTATTAGCATCATTCCTTAAAATTTAAATATAGTTTACCTTATGCAAATATCAAAAAATCACTAACTAAAATCAAAAAATTAAAAATTCAGGGTTTTCGAAAGGTAATGAGAGTAAATATACATCGCTCGTGTGTATATATAAGTTATATGTTTCTGTTTGAAACTGGGGTTATTTGATGTTTGTATAATTCATGAACGTATATTAGATTAGGTTACTACGAAGTTCTTGTGCAGGTTGCTTGTACGAAGGAGTACGATATGGACCGGGATCTGCAATGATGGGCTCTCAGAAGTGTGAATATTGTTACTGTATATCTGGTACGAGAAGATGCATTAGACCAAAATGTTTACTTCCCCTCCCAGGTTGTACACCAGTTTATGCACCGCACTCTTGTTGCCCGATATCCTACAACTGCACCCGTGAGTAAATTCAGCTTTACATAAAAGAATTAAAAATTAACTTTCCCGCATTTTAGTGTCGTATGCATGTGGGTAGTGTGTACTTTTTTTCTCTAATAAAATTGTCTCACTGTTACAATTTACATAAAGTGTACTTAAATTATCACAAAAAAATTTCGTTTTTAGATGAAATTAAAAAATTCTGAATGAATAAATACGTTAGAAAGTTAGTTTTTAGAATATTTAAAATACTTTCAAAATTCTTATAGTTCTTATATTGATTGTAATCTATTGACGTTGTCGAAATATTGACCACATGAAAATGCTTTTAATTCAACAGGTGCAGAATCTTCGACGACCATGGCCTCGATGTCAGGAAATGGTTAGTATGCTCGCAATTAATGAAAGTGGACTCACGTGATTTACAGATGACGCTTTTGATGACCTTTTACTTCACGTACAGTGAACATGTAGAAGTCATTCGATCGTCGATTAAAAAACTTTTCTAGATTCCGTACAATATTTAATTTCTTTTATTTCTAGATTGTCGAGTCGGCAAACGCATTTACAAAGAGGGTGAAATGGTGCGGGATTTCGCTTTAAAATCTACCTGTGACAATTGTTTCTGTGCCATGGGCGCTGTAAGTTGCGTTCCACTTGCCTGCGCTCCACCTCTTCAGGGTTGCAGTCCAATTGTTCGAGAAGGACAATGCTGCCCTTCCACTTACAATTGCAGTGAGTGAATCAGAAACAAAAAAAAAAAAAAAATGTTCGATCTGTTTTGTAAATTTTAATTAAAATGTTAAATCAAATTTTCAACAGTCAGTTCCTTTCAGGTGGTAGCATTGAGGTGAAAGCGGCACAAAATTACGCATCTTATGCATTCATTAGCAAAGATTATGCAAAATTTAGAAAGGAGACGAATTTCTTTGTAAGTTGGAAATTTTTTTTTATTTTGAGAATTATCCTTTCATTCTTTAAAGTGAATTTTTCTGTTCTATCTTAAGGCACCATACGAGTTTCAATCTTTATCAAATTACACGGTCGAGGGTCGTGGTCATCGAGTGGTCATTGAGGGAATAGACTCAAGCACTTTCAGTCCGGTCACTGAAGAGTCTGCAGTCACTGAATCCACTTTTGCCTCCTCCACCTTAGAAACCGAGACGATGGACAATAAGATCCTGACCGAAACGACAGAATATCCAAAGACCACTACTTTCGAGAGCAATCTTCCTACCTCCACCACACTCGAGGTTGGATACTTTAAGATATCTGTAAAAAATCAGCCACTTGTTTTTTTTATCTTGCAAATAAAATACAGTCACAGAAAAGTAATAATAAATTCTCGATTTTTCTTCTCCTATTCATTTCAAGTTAAAGACAATTTTTTCATTATGTTCTAGTTTCTTATTTTTGGTTTGAATTTTAAATTTAGGGAATTACTGATGCGGAGTCGACAGTCTCTGATTGGAGAACGACAATCAAAGACTTGGGCTTGGAGGATTCAACGTTGACGAGCTCCTTAATGTCTCTAGTGGATTCAACTACTATCGATGATTCCTTCTCTGAAGTTACAACCACAAGAGCAACCACAATCGTTGAAGATTATACATCGACGTTACCTTCAGTTACAGACATAACAGAATCAACTTTGATCTCTCTAGAGGGAGGATTTCGCGAGACGTCCTGTCAGGAAGGTGAATCAGACAAAGTGAATTTTACAGAGCCTTTTACAAATGATACCGAAACAACGGTTCCTTCTTTAACAACGAAAAAACATAATAGCGAGAAAGAGAAAGATTTAGGTCAACCTACCTCATCAACTTCAACCAACCAGGTAAAAACATTCTCAGCGAGAGAGAAATTTGTTTTATAAATAAATAAATATACGGTACACCAATCATGGGTTCATTCATTTCTGAAATATTCGCAGATATTGTCATGGATGACCTTGAAACCTCTTGTACAGCAAAGTTACCATTTAAACCGATTTTCTTTTATAGATATATGTGGATGATATAATCACGTGTATCATAACTGATTTTTATAAAAATCCTACATTCTCTGAACGCACTATTAACTACAACTCCAAACATCCTTTCAACAAAAAAATTACCAACCATAAATTTCTACTCAAAAAACATTGAATTTGTTAAAGATATTTTATTCAAAAACAAAGTACCCCTTAGCTGTCAGAAACAGACATATCAGAACAATACAAAAGCACTGACAAAAGCAGTAATTTTTACAATATTGTACTAAAAGTAATCTTACCATACGTTGCAAATCTTTACGAATTACAATTCTTAATTTACAATTATTAATTAATTAATTAATTAACAATTATAATTCCTTCTTACCCAGTAAGAAGTAGGGAATTGAGAAGAATTGAAAATTTTTAACATTTTACAGAAAAGGTTAATTATCAATTTTTTTGAATTCCGTTTCTGTCCAATTCACATGTATTCTTCTTTTAGGCACCCAGGTGAAAATGATTCATACGTTCAGAAATCGGTTAAATTCCGATAGGACTTCGTGTGCCGTTTTGGAACGTTTTTCGTGTGAATTTCTCCAGGTGGAAAACCGGATACAGAAATAATAAAAAAAAACATTCCACACGGAAATCCGAACGGAATTCTGTCCGTAAAATCTATGTGGAATCTTTTGTCAAAATCCCACTAGGAATCCAGTATTCCGCACGAAATAATTGCTAAACATTTTTTAAAAATAATTTTCGACCTCTTTTCCGAACGAATTCTGCACGAAATTCGGACGAATTACTATAACGAATTTTTTGTAAAAATTCCGCTCGAAATCCAGACTGGAAAAAAGTCTTCAATTCTAGATAAAGAAAGCAATTTTAAAAAGCGTCTTATTTCTGAGATGATTCATTAACTCGCAAAAAGATGCTGTTAACAGAAAAGATGCCATCAAAAGCCCTAATAACTATTATATTCATTTTCTTAACGAAAAGAGTTACTTCTAACTTCTCATCTATTTTGTGTCACTTTGACAATTCTTTGATTTCGTCTTCTATTTACTACCCCAGGTCATTCACCTTATATCAATCGATTCATATTTGTATTACTATCAAAATTTGTTACTCTTGTCAGTGCCTATTTGTTATCGTCAGGTAGTGGACAGTTCCATTGTGGAAGAAATATATTTTCAATTTAACATTTTTTCGGTAATCGATCATTTTAACATTTTCCTTATTGTTAATACGATCGAGTCATAACATATAATCCTTATAAAACTATTTTTTATTTGACAAAATTATAGTTTCATTATTCTTTTTACAAAGGTTTCAAGATTTATAAATAATTTCTATACAATAATATTCTTTGTTGTTCTAATTTAATTCAGCAGTGTGTTACGTAGGAGACTTGTAATTAACCAATCTTAATTTAAAAATTCCTGTTTTATTTACGGAGTGGTAGGCTCCAAACTAAGAAAACAGGCAAAGGAAATCAATTGTTTGAACTTGGGTCAAGAATTCTTTTGTTGATTATTTGTCACAATGAAAGGGCAACACTGTCTTCTTGAAAATTGACAGGTTCTCTCTCCTGAATTAATCTGTTTGTCCAACTGTAAGTAGAAACAAACTATCAATATATTTTAAGGAGATATTACACATAAATAAATATTTATATTAAATTGTATAACTTAAATTGAATGCGTGCCAAGTAGATTGCTTCCACTAAAATGATTTTAGTGGTCCGTAGAAGTAGAGACTGGTTCAAGGCTGACTTGTCCCGCAAAGTAGGGTGACCAAAATTCTTTACAGTCACAGTTTCTGAATTGCCCAACTTTTTATCAATCACAGATAGGGAAAGATTACGTCAGATAGAATGACCATTCACATAGTTATAATGTCCACTGGATATCCTCTGCTGATAAGGACGGATCTTTACTGGAAAGGGTTTTAATTAATAGTTAAGATCTCATTACTTAGTTCGCTCAGATAGAAATAAGGCACATTGATCAGAATTGAAATTGAGACGAGTTGCCTTCAGGTAAATTGGTAATAAACTGAATGGTTGGAAAACATAGCAATGGATTGATAGATGCTTTTTTTATCATTAAAGTAATTAATATAGGGTTTGATCGAAATAAATTTACAATATATGGAGAATTTAACAGAAATCACATATACAATTTGGTAGTATTAGAATTTAAATCACTTTTTTAAAGAACTGAAAAATTTTATTAACCAAACAATTATTCAAATCAAATTATTATCATTAAAAGAAATAAAATAAAATTTCTATCTACATAAAAATGATTGACAGCTATACAATGGCATTGTTCTCGAAAAACGTTAGACACGTTGCAGACTATGAGAGAGAGAAAAAAGATCATTCTATCCTTAGTATCAAAATTTAAATATCATTGGCAAAGAAAATTAAACTCCTTCGGTAAACTAGAAAGTGGGGTTGAATTCGCGATAAGAAATGCATGGCATAAGTAAGTATCGTCAAAGGGTAGGGTCGGTCACCGATTCTCAATCAATCAACGAGAGAAGTCTCACACTAACTTATTCATTTAAATTTATACTAAAATCGTGAAATTGGGGGTAGATCTCGACTATATAAACCCTTAAATTGTAAGCGTCGCTCTCTCGATCATAAAAATCAGGGACCATCGAGAAATCGTTGTTCCACCTGTATTACACCAAAAACAGAACAATACACCCTAGTTTTTATAATAATAATATAAATGAATAATTATAATATTTATCTACAAATTCAAGCCACGGTGACAGTGTTTGCTATTGAGAAATCTTTGTTCCACCTCATATTCTAAATCCAAATAGTGGTATCAAAATATCGACGTAGCGGTTTTAAATATTTAACAAAACTTGACCCCAGTCCTCGAAAATTATTATTTAGTGTAGAAAATAATTAATTCACTTGAATTAATCATTGAGTTAAATTTTCAGAGAAATATATAGACTTTTCTAGTTGAAATAATAAAATTATGAGCAATTTTCGATATTATAAAATTTATAATCATTTTTCTCTTGCAAAAGTAAAAATTTATTCAGCAAAAGATAAATAGGAATTCATTTTAAGTAATTTTCCAAATATATTTACAGGATACATTGGTAACAGGCTTGCCTAGTGTTCTAGTGCCAGATGACATTTTAGTGATGAATGTTACTGTAAAAACAAATGTTTCGGTTGGACATATTCAAGGGGTGACGATTAATCCTGTGAGGACGATTGCACCGGAAATAGAAGCCATTCTGAATATCATTCATCGACAAAAGGATGATGATTATGAATACGATTACAGTGAACCAACTTTACCTCCGTCACTACCAAATGTTCGGTAAATAGTGAAATTTCCATTTTATTATTCGCTTGAATAAATGGTTAAATTTATGTCTAATATAATATTCAAAATTACGTATCATTTCATTACTAAAAATTGTACTATACTTAATATTTTATTATTAATTTTCTGAATTTAATTATATTGATATTTGACATTGATAATTATTATTACAATCTGATTAATGTAGATACTTTAATTTTATTTTATTTGAATTAAAATTTTATTAAGAATTTCTAATAAATGAGAATCTCTTTTGAAGACACGTTTCTTGTGTACATTTAAACCTTTGGGGGGTTTGAATTTCAGAATTATTCCATTCGTAGCGGCGGACGCTTTAGTGAAGGACAAAAACGATGCTGCACCACCCGTCACCGGATATCCTTCTGGTGCTGTGGGAGTACCTCCAGAATTGATACCAAAGGACTCGACATTCTACGACGTGGTAACCCAGGAGAATCGTTTCAGTCCACCGGTTGAAACCCAAGGTATTATATCCTGTTTCGAGGATACAGAACAAATTAATTATTTCGTTTAACAAGAAATCGACATGCTGCAGGTGGATTTGTGCCGAGGGAACCTCCTTACTTCGATCCGTCTTATCACTCAATTGATCTAAATCTGGAAATTGGTACTGGAGTTACAGTTATACCCGAAGCTATTGGAAATCCTCTCAAGAAGAATGATTGTAAGCTCGTAAATTCTTGATTAACTGATATGCATGAGTCTGGAGATAATTAAATAGCCATTGATTTAAATTGAGCTTCTTCGTTTGGCGAATTAACTATCAAATTAAATTCCTTCTATCATGATTTAATTAAACGATCCTGATGAATTTAGTTGGTCAATATTTTCGTCAGATAATTATTTTCTTTTATAGTACAAGATTTTGGAAGTATTTGCGCTTTTGAGGGTCGAGAATATCATCATGCTGCTACATTACCAAGTCCCGGATTGTGTATCGTCTGCATTTGTTACTATGGAGAGGTAATTTGTTCTGATGAAAAATGTCCCCCCTTGAAGATTGGATGTCAGCGAATAATAGACGAAAAAAATTGTTGCGGAAAGATTGTCTGCGGTAAGAAGCTTAATTTTTCAATTAAAATAAAGTTCTTAAGTTGAAAAAATAAATAAATTTATTCTTTCATTATCCCAGTGGATGCTAAAGAGTCACCAACGGTTGTCCTGGATCGAGCAGATTCATCGTTACAAATACAAACCTTGGTTTCATCTGATCCATTTAGAGACGTCATCAAAACAGAACCAGCACCGGATTTGCCTTCTCTAATTGAGGACATGATACCTTATTTAGCCGGTCAGGGAATTAGTACTTCAAACACAACAAATGCAACGAATTCCTCTACTTTTGATAATGATTCTCAAATATTTGACTTTAACCATCGCAATCAGTCTCCTAAAGTTGATCAAGCTTTTCCTGAAAGTGGAAATAAATTTGATAATCCCAACGATACTCTACTTCCTAATCATTTAGAAAATAAGAAAATCCCCTTGCAAAGTAATTATCTCCTTAAAACAAATCAAAGTGAAAAAAACTCGAGCAATTTGAATAATGAAAATTCTCCTTCGCTTAATGAAAGTACCAACAAAACTGAGGACTTCTTCCATTCTGAAGAAAGCGAATCAATTTTCTCTCTTGACAGTGTTCTTGATTTGTTCTTCTCAGACACTACAACCGCGTCTGGAGAAATTACAAAACAAAACGATACTAAACAGACTGAAATAAGAGATAAAATAGACTTTGAAATGAAGAATTCAGAAAAGACACAATTTAACGGAGAAATTAAAATTAATGGAGGAGCAGAAGTTGATGATGTAAAATTCAAAAAAGAAATTACAACCCTCAAGAAAGATCCAGAACTTTTAAAAACTGAATTTCAGTTTCCAAAGATTGGAGAAATTAGAGAACAATTAATTAAAAATCATTCCACTGAAGTGGATACAGATTCAGTTAAAAACAATATAAAATTTCAATATTCATCAGGAAATCCCTCAGCAAATATAATTAATAAAACAATTTCCCCAGCAACTATTAATATTCAAGGAATTACAAATTTAAACGTTGATCTCAATTCAGAGTCGAAAACAAAAAACACTGACAACGATATTACAGGTTTGAATATTTTGAAATTGGCTGGATGCAATATTTATGGAAGAATGTATCGTGTGGGAAGAATTATTACCGAACTTACATCATCATGTCGTGAATGCAAGTGTACTGAAGTAGGTGTACAATGTAAGCAATTGAAATGCTAAATTCCTTTCTTTCTTAATTTCATTATTTAATTGAATCAATATTTCTTCGCTCGGAAACGAAAATATTGTAATCCCGTGATTTAGGATTAATTTAACTTAGTCATTAAATATCATTAGTTTTGCAATTCATATTGAGTGGAGTTTAACACAGTAAATCGTGAGGTGTTAAAATAACATCAGAATGGATTAAAATAATCTGCTACAGTTTAATCAATCTAGGATTAAATTAACTGAGACTGAGACTAAGAGACTTGGACTAAGACTAAGACTAAGACTAAGACTAAGACTAAGACTAAGACTAAGACTAAGACTAAGACTAAGACTAAGACTAAGACTAAGACTAAGACTAAGACTAAGACTAAGACTAAGACTAAGACTAAGACTAAGACTAAGACTAAGACTAAGACTAAGACTAAGACTAAGACTAAGACTAAGACTAAGACTAAGACTAAGACTAAGACTAAGACTAAGACTAGGACTAGGACTAGGACTAGGACTAGGACTAGGACTAGGACTAGGACTAGGACTAGGACTAGGACTAGGACTAGGACTAGGACTAGGACTAGGACTAGGACTAAGACTAAGACTAGGACTAAGACTAAGACTAAGACTAAGACTAAGACTAAGACTAAGACTAAGACTAAGACTAAGACTAAGACTAAGACTAAGACTAAGACTAAGACTAAGACTAAGACTAAGACTAAGACTAAGACTAAGACTAAGACTAGGACTAGGACTAGGACTAGGACTAGGACTAGGACTAGGACTAAAACTAAGACTAAGAGACTAGGACTAGGACTAGGACTAATACTAAGAGACTAGGACTAGGACTAAGACTCAGACTAGGACTAAAACTAAGACTAAGAGACTAGGACTAGGACTAGGACTAAAACTAAGACTAAGAGACTAGGACTAGGACTGGGACTAGGAATGAGACTAGGACCAGGACTAGGACTAAGACTCAGACTAGGACTAGGACTAGGACTCAGACTAGGATTTCTAATAAGACTTTGACTAAGACTTCGATTAAGACTTTGACCGTGACTAACACTGAGACTTTGACTAAGCCTTGACTTTTACTTTGTCGAAGATTAAGACTCGCTTTGATTTTCTTTGATAAATGGTTGACTTGGTTTTGATTTGAAGTCAAATTTCATTCATATTAATAAATAACACCAAAATGGATTATTTTAATTTTTTTTTGTGTTAGTTTAATCTGCAACGCTTTGTAATACCTCACAATTTACTGTTAATTGAAAAGTGGAGTTGGTGCAAAACTTAGGGATAAGAAAGTAGTTACAAAAAAAGACGATCTCAATAGGATCATATATGAGTAATAAGGCATATAATTAACATAAATGCCGTAGATAAAAATGCACATAGTTAAAACTGAAACTCAAAGTCACACGGCGAATATTTAATAGACAGTGTGATCAGAGAGGTAACAGAAAAAGTTCCTCCGTCCCTTAATCAACTGACGATTTGAAATATTCCTAAAGACTGAATATTTATTAAAATAATTCCATTTTATAGAAAGTATAATAAAAAATTTGATCAAAACTCATTTTTTAGTATTTAATATTTTTTCACATTTATTTTAGTGATAAAAAATTATTTTAAGAATTAATAGTGAAATAATTTATAACAATTAATTAAGGGATCGAAAAAGAAACTAAAGACAATCATTTTGTATACGTCAGAAGAGTAATGTTTACTGTCTCTATTATTTGAGAAATAATTGTCTTCGCGAAATTAGTTTTTTACGAATTCCATTAAAAGTGAGACGAAGAGCAACCACATTGAGAAATAACAAATTGGTTTTAAGCGACTCTTGAAATGTTTCTTAAGCCATAGCCTGAAGCTTATTCATCTTCGAGACGTTGCGATGGTGGAAATTGTGCTTGGGAATTATCTCAGGTGCGTGTACTTGATGAAGTTTCTGGCAAAATTGTTTTTAAAGACTTGTAATTTAATGTCTTTTCTACTTTAAAGTGTTGAAGTATTTCGACACAAGACAATGTTTAAAGTAAATTAATTTATTCAAATTGAAACTATATTTAAATTTATATTAACAGGTATTACAGTATATCAATATTTAATTTTTATATATATATATATATATAAATTTAGTTTTTAATTCCAACATCGTTAATAAAAATTAATTTAATTTTTTCTATTTAATTGATTTATATATATATAATTAATATAATTTTATAAAGATGTATTTAAATATTTAATTTTGACATGCAAATTAAAGGATGTTGCAAAAATAGTATATTTCTTATATTAAAGAATTTATTAATAAGATGTATGTCTTGGTTCATCAACAATAATAATGACAAAATAGATTTTTAAATTTCCAATACTGTAGTTTTATAGTTTGATTTTATTTGTACAGACCTTATTATTTTAAAAGAGAATGCTATACAGAGGCTTGTATTATATTCAGGAATAAAATTTTTATACTAAAAGTTAGTATTTTTATTTACTGAATAAAACTCAAAGCAGTTTTATTATAAAATTCTGCGACCAATGATAAAGAAAAAGGGTTTTTTCTAATTTTTCGAATGAAAAATAAGGAAACAAAATGACGATGAGGAAGCCTACAAGGGAAAATGAGACAGATCGACACTTACTTGCAGAGGTTCAAGGAGTTGTGACGCGATTTTTGACGAGTGGCAACTGTTGAGATTTATTAAAGAGTTGACTTTTATCTTTTCTTTGTTAATTATTTCAAGGATTAATTTAATTTTTAATAATAAATCTGTGTTCGAAATGAGTTAAATTGTACTTAATTAAACACCTTATGCCTTTTAAAATAAATTATTAAATTATGTAACCTTACTTGATGCCTTATCATTTAAATTTTAATTTTTTACCATGCAACAAATTAATTAGTATTTTTTTTTGTAGTCGAATATTAAAGTGTAAATTGGTTTCATTATTTATTATTATTCAAAAGTCACCAAGGACGCTTTGCCTTAATAAAAGAGTTCACTGATGATCTTAAGATGAATTCTATTTTATTTTCATAAACCAATTCTCGATTATTTTCTATTTTAATAAAAAACTTGTTATTAGGTTAAAAGAGAAATAACAGAAACAGAATTGAATGCTAGGTTCTTTATTATTGCACTTAATTGATTGTATCGATACACACTGGGAATTCTTATCATTCATAATAATTTTATCATTCTGTATTTAATCTCAGTATAATAATTATTTACACTGTAATTGTGATAATAACACTAAAATAATCACAGCCAGTTTATTTCATAATGTCGATAAAAAACAATTATAGTTACAGTATGATTATTATGTAATAATATGGATATAACACTTTTTCATTAATCAAATTGTCACTGGGATAAGATATACTCTTTACTATAATACAAATTGTCAGCAGTTATATTTTTGGCAGCATCTTTCTCAACATGTAAATCAGACATCGTCAAATCGGGTGGCGATATATGATTTATTTAAATATTCGATAACTATAATATTTTTATATTATTAGTAAATACAATATTTATTTATGTTTATTTCTAGATCATCATATACTAAAGGAATAAAAATTGATTTTAAATATAGCCACGAAAAAATTGTCATCACGATTCCTGAATAATTAATCTTTTCTTCAAATCGATAAAGATTTTTTTTATCTTTTTTTTACATTGCTTGTAATATTTATTATGTAGATTGAGGGCAATGATAGCGAAAACTATGCAAACCTACCTATAGATCAATTATTCAGAATTCGGATTATTTGAGCTTATTAATTAATTATAATATTACTGTTTAAATAGAGACTTATTTATAGTTAACTGAACTTGTACAACATTGTAAAAAGTATTCTTATTATGTATTTATAAAGAGATTAATATTCTAATAGATGAAAAAGATATTTTATTGGAAATGAGTCAATAAAATGTTAAATAACCTTCTATATAAATATATAATAGTATATATTGCTTAAATTTAAAACCTAAAGTAAAGTTAAAATTCATATTTAAAAATGTTCTACTTTCTAATTACAAATTTTTATCTTTTTTTTCAGTCCGACTTCGAATAATTTTCTTCCTAAAATACTACTTTGGATATTTAATTGTAAAAATTGTCTTTCACGTGGCAGAGAAATATTTGTTAGGTAATTTTTTACATTAGCACTGATGGAGATATTTATTACAAGTCTAGAGATTTACTTTACAGGAAGGCGTCAAAGTCTGTTTTGTTGAACTTAAGATTTGTTAATACTGACTATTTAGTAAGGTTGTCCAAAAAATAATAAAATTTTTTGAAATAACATTCCCCCCCCCTATTTTTGCTATGTATGGTAAATAAACCGGAATATTATTTAGATTTTTCTTATCAAAAATACTTTAAATGTGGTTCTGGAATATTTTGTGAAGCCTTAAGATGTAGGGAGGCACCCAGGATTGTAATTTTCTAAACATTGTGATATTAAAATACAAAAAATATTAATTTTTTATAATAATATGTTACAGATGTTTAAAGGGAACCTGATGTATAGAGGATAAATTTGTCCACCATATTGAATCCGCCATTTTGAATTTTGACTTCAGATTCGTAATCATATACTCCGAAAAGCCAGGTTTCTTTTTTATCTGACCTACTTTGTCTCAGAAAAGAATTGCGATCTCTATCTCTATCACCGATTATCTCTAATTAAAAAAATGTTAATGAACATTTAAAATAAATACAAAAATATTTCGAAATGCTCGAAGGTCTAAGTTACTTTTTCCCTTCTTAAAAAAAATTTTTAGAGGTTAATTTTTTTAAAGATAAATACATGCTATTTAAGAGGATAATATTTTATAAGTTGTATCTTTAATAGTTTCATAAAAGTACATTTCTGAAGAATCATTCAATATTCTGTATGGGATATGTCCCCTTGAAATATTCCTGGACCACAATTTAAATATATTTTTAAAAAACCTGATTTTAAATGTATCTTTATCATTGAAAAAATAAGTTACTAAAATTTAAAAGTAGTATCAGGTCACTGTCTATTTAAAAACTTAATTATTAATCGCTTTACTATCATCCTCTGAAGTGTAATAAAAGTTTTTTTACTTTTTTCCTCATTTTAAATAATTATTCATCGTTTAAAAATATTCTGTAATTAGTATTGTTATTTTTACAGCACCAATGCAAAAAAATTAAACGGTAAACTTTTTGGTATCGAATATAAACAAACAAGATTTAAAGTTAATTTGCAGCATAATGAAATGTATTAATATTATTATTATTATTATTATTATTTTTTAATTTTTTTATAAAATCATAATTATCTAACAGATATTGTTAATGAGATAACAAGAATTTATTTTAGACTGAAGAGTAGCTTTCTGTATTTAAAGAGAATGAAAAGTGGGTCAACAACCTGATACTGCTATTTTCATCTTAGTTCTTGAATTAGTGAGTCTCCTCTTTCTACGAAATATAATTATGATAACAATCATATTCTGTTATACATTCTGACAAAAAGTACTCCCTCACGGTGGGTTTTTAAGATTTTCGAAGCGTTCTAAACACTTTTGTGTACATAACCTGTCAAGAGTTTCTTTATCATTGAAAATAATTGTTTCAAGTAACTACAATTGGTCTCTCCAGTGAAGATAGTATCTTTTTCATCCTCGAATTTAAATTCTTTTTAGGAGGCCACTTGAATTTATTTATTTTTTTTCCTTTTAGCAAAAGTCGCAGTGTCCTTTTCTTTTTAAAATATCAATTATTCTTTAAATACACACAGACACAATGGTTTTTTTCAATGATAGATTGTTTCCAAATAACGCGTTTTTAAATGTCCACAATTTTTTAACGGTTTTTAAAAAGTTTTGCACAGTTTTGTTTTTCAATTACTCGTAAATGGAGTCGGCATTTTCTCGGATTTTAACAATGAGAAATGATTTCTTGCACAGTTTCACGAGCATTTCAATTCTTTGTCAGGAAGGTTTCCTCAATTGGGGCAAAGCTATAAGATAAATGTTTCCTAAGATGGCTCCAATTACTAAAAGTGCAACACTAATACCAGAAACAAATCTGACGAAGCGAACAAATCGTCGACCTCTTGAGTCCTTTTTGCTTTGATTGGGAAATACTGCCAAGCCTAAAAGCGGTCCGGCAAGTGCTCCAGCTACGTGAGCAGCCCATCCCACACGTCCGCATCCAAGAAGAGCTGGAACTGGAAGAGAGGCTACGTCTGCTCCAGCAAGAAGTAGAACAGCAAGAAGACGCCAGCCAGCGTAACGAAGCTCTCCATGACACTGGAAAAATAGAAAAAACGTGATTTGACGATTTATCGACTGTACTTGTACTTTCTTGTTACCATGTACCTACAATCAATCAAAGGGGTCAACTATTCTTATCGTAATGCAATGCTCTGAATGGCCACCTGCGAATCTTCGATTCGTTCTTCTACGAAATTTAACCCTCTTTTTGGGGGTATCTCTCTAAAAATGTAATTTCTGTGGGCATATAACCCACCCTGTTCTACGCGAAAAGTCAGTCTTGTTCCAGTCTCGTACAGTCGATCAATCTAAAATTCGTCGTCAACGCTTCAAGTCAGTCGTCAGTTCGTGTCATAGTTCTTCGTTATTAGTGACATTATCCTTAGGACATTCGTAGGATATCCTGAATAACAGAGGTTACTGTTCGGGATCAATAAAATTTTTTCTTGGAATCTAAACTATATTGATCCAAGTCTTCACCAGGATAGCAGATACCAAATATAGTCAATCTATGTTTTGTCACCCTTCTATTGGGTCCTCACCTGTTCGATACAGGAGTTAAAAATTAAATCAATAATAACTTCTTCATCCCAAAAGTAATAAAAGTGGGTGGTGTGACGTATCATCCCTTGAAAAAGGAACCCTATAAAAGGTGACACCCTTGCCGAATTCGACAGTCCAGGAATCGCCACCAAGTTAACTGTTGTGTACTACTCCCAAGTGTCTTCTTCGACTCCAGTCCAGGAAGCGTCTTCAAGTTATGTTAGTCCAGAAGTCACCACCGAATCAACTTCGCGTCTTCTTCGTGTCAGTCCATCAACCGTGACAAAGTTAACTAGTTGTGTACTGTCATCGAATTTGTTCTTCGACTCCAGTCCAGAAAATCTCTTCAAGTACCAAGTCCATTCTTCATATCACATCTTAGTCAAATTCATTCAATAAGATAATTTCTACTACGAGGCACATTTCTATTTTTCTAAGGACTGCATTACCTCGACATCAACGTCAAATCAATAATTCGGTTAATCCTAGGCTGAGAGGGGTTTTATTTAATTTACATCGATACCTGGACTTCCGACCTTTCACTTTGGCTGGCCCGAAAACAATTTGAGGGAAATCTACTGCATTCTCTGTTATCGCTAGGAGGTATCGCTTCACGAAGAAAAATGGATATTTAAGGTAAATATCTAGATGTTAAAGTTTAATATTTTTATTCTTTAACATAGGGACAGCTATCCAGATATTAAAATTAAATATCTGGATGTTAAACGTTAATATCTAGCATGTGATTTGAATATCTAGATATTAAAGTTTAATATTTTTGATGTTAAGAGTTGACATATTTTTTCAATATCTACTTTTGAATATCCAGTTTTCTCCGTGTTGTTGGATCTACGACTCTAAGAATAATTCTTAAAGGTATAAGTAACTAATTCTTTTAAGTTTTGTCCCCATTTATATTCTCGATTGATTCCACAAAGTTCTAATTTTGTTTCAGTGTCTCTGAGGACATCTGAATTTACTCTTTCTCTCTGATTCTAATTGTGAAAAATTCCAATAAAAACTTTAATAATTTAATTTCAATTTAACAGTTTGTCTTTCTTAAACCTGTACCTTAATATTAGAGCCTTCTTTCCTGTGAATAAATCAGGTATGAATCACCGATGCCTAACAATTTAAATAAATAATTTTAAGATATGTTGGTTTCGTTATGAGACATAACCCAGCAAATTATGTCACGAAAGAAATCCAAAGTTTCTAGTTTTTCGCTTTAACCCTCTGAGTATACGCTGCGGGTCATACACAAAAAAATTTCTAGGCAAGAAGATTTCGTGTAAACTATTTTTTATTTATTAAATAGAGTATTAACTCGAAGTGATCGTTGACTTCAGTATTTAATTAATTTGACAAAATTGAGTGATAAATTCGTTAGATCATTATTTATATTCTTAAGTATTCGTGAAAAAACTTGATGGCAATAGATCTTGTCATTTTGAAAGTACACTCTATTAAAAAAAGTAATGGTTCACAAATTGAACCAAAGACTACACTGTGATAAAAAATAGTTGTATTCTCAAAGAATTAAAAAAAATCTCTATATTTAGCGTCAACTTAAACGTCTTAATCTAATTAATGGGTCAAAAATTAGTAAACAGAATTATATTAGTTAAAGCTGATATTCGCATTAAAAATTTTATAATCAGTTGTCAACGAATCTATTGAGGGAATAGAATAAACAGAATTAAAGTTAACTATATTAATTAGAAGTATTTTTAGATGCTGAATAAACTATAAGGTATTACAAAGCTTTGCAGATTAAATTTCTGAAATAAACGATTAAAATAATCTATTTAGGGAATAATATGACTATGAATATATTCTAATAAAAATACAATTTCATTACTTGAATGTGTGTATTAGTGTCGTGTCTGTGTTTTAGTTTTTTTACTTACAATTTCTGTTTAGGATATTCTGCTAGGTATAATCCTCAATTATTTTCTCTATTTATCGAGAAAAACACAAATATCTTTTAATAGTCGTGAGTAAACTTTGCTTGTAGGAAAACCTTGCCCTTAGGTCTACACTTGTGACCAAAATCGTTGACTTTATTCTCAAAAACAAACTGGCTAAAAAGCCTAACTTAGTCTCGCCAAGTTTAACGGGATACTACTGCCTTACTTAGTGTCACCAAGTTTATGCGAGCGACTGCCCAGATTTCTCCATGTCACTTGTTTTTATGGAATGACAATTAAGTGGGGAAATCTTCATTAAAGTTTATTGCACTAAATGCAATATTCCGCAATATTGTTAATAAGCAGAATTTGGCATTTACCAAATATAAATGTGCCACTTACTGTTGCGAAATAAATCATAAATATTTAAGAAAAACCCTTAGTAAACAATAAAAAGGATTTCACCTTGCTTAATATTTGAGCTAAATATGAAAATTATTGAGGACTATTTTGAAATCAGGTTATACAGAAATCTTTTTAGTATGAGTATTACATATTTCAATAAAATGTTGTTCTAAGATGTTTTGTGTGTTTTTAGATTACAAAAGATTGATTTTTAAATTGATTCGATATAATAGAAATGTTACGAAGTCATACGTAACACGTAGTTTAAATTTTAAAAATTTATTAATTAACAAGATCTGCGTTTAAATACCGTATTCCTTAAATTTAAAACTAGTCTAGATAGTAGGTTTCAACTTCACTTTTGGTGAAATGACCCTTCTCAAAAAAATTAGTGGATAAATTACTGTATCCACTACTGAATCAATCATTGGATGAATTACTGGATTTTCAGTAATTAATCCAATGATTTATCCAGTAATTATTTTTCATGAAGGGATTATTTTTTTCATAGTTTTAATTTTCAATATCATTATATGAAAAGAGTATGCATGGTGAAATTTGAAAAGAGATATTCTTATATCAAGTCTGCAAGTAGAAAAAGTGAGAAAGAGTAAGATTTTTAGACGAAGATAGTGTAATGTCAGTTTGAATTGTCGAGATAGAGAATTACAATGTAAAACGAAGAAGTTCTTATTTAATATGCCTTGGTGTGAGAAAAAAAGATTTCTGTTAACGCCTAAGTAACGTTTAAAGTTACATACTTTTATCTATAGTCTTCCATGCGATGAAGGGAGAAAGAAAATATTACCTGGATTTTAGGAGTTAATCCTCATTTACAAAGGCTATTGTTAAAGTGCTCGTATTGTTTGTGTTAATCCTTCGTAGGGTCTAATACAGGCCAATATACAATATACTAGTTAAAAATAAAAAAATGAAAACGTAATTTTATATGTATTACTCACTAAATAAAGATGTGCAAGATGACTGGTGAGTAATGCGTAGACACCAGCTGAAGCACCAAGAAGAAGAAGACTTGGCTGCAGTAGAGAGGCACCAAGAGCACCACAAGCACCACCTCCTAAGTAAATAGCCGTAACTGCTAGACGTCCCTGCTCGATCTGTGAAAATCAGTGAAAATTTTCCATATTGCTATGTCTGCAATCGAATGAGCTCTAACAAAGTTACTCTATGTATTTTTCGACCTCAAAACTGCCATGTAGGCACTCCTCAAATCCAATATTGTGAAAAATGTTTCTGCCTATACATTTATCGATCTTTTTTTTGTTTTACCAATGCCGACTTTTTTTTGTAATTGACGAATGCATTGAAAGCTACCAATTAACTTGATTGGCTCACCTCGAGTGGCATGGCCAGTACCAGTTGAATGACCACGTTCAATGTGAGGTGAAGAGCATCTGAATGCAACAGCATGTATGAAACGAACCTCCAACCTTGTACCCTCTGTCGTGGATCATACACAAGCCACCTTCGTATTGTTTCGTCTGCCACACAGTGAACTGTTATCTGTACATTAAAACGACCATTGGGCATTTACCACATAAATTTTCTGTTATCCGAGATATCGTAAAACAAGTATAAAATACATTTATAACTGTCAGAGAAATAAAACAAAAATGCTCCTCTTCATTATTTTTCTCGCATAATTTAACATGTTATTAATTAAAACATTTTTTTTAATTAAAAAATAATTTATACAAAAATAATTTTAATTATACAAAAATAATCTTAATTGTATGAAAATATTTAATAACGGAGTCAAAATTTAAAAACAGGCAATCAACATTTTGCTTTATTTCAATATTCATATTTGCGTCAGTACAAACTGTTTAATGAACACATGGAAATATAATTGAGTCAATTTTGTGGAATTCCAATAATGTATTTTAAATTTTCTCATCAATATATATATTAAATGTATTTGAAAATATTTTTAAAATAGTTGCTTTATTTTACCTTCAGTTGCAGAATATTTAAACATTTATTATTTTTCTGTTTGTATGAAAATATATATTTTAATATCAGCTTGAAATAATTTTACTCTCTCTCTCTCATTAAAAAGTGGATAATATTTATTATTAATATCCTTCGTATTGTTTTTAAAAATATAATGGTTATATACCCTTTAAATAAAATTATAAATTTATGTACATAAACGCAAAACAAAGTTCACATCGCATGATCAAACAATGCATTTATTATTTATTTAAGTTAAAATTTGCAACCGAATTATTTGCAAATAAATAAAAGAATTTTTTTTTAAAACGAGCAAAAATGTCAATAATAAATTAGAAAACAAGATAAATGGTGAAATTCATTTGTAAATATTTGTCGGCTCTCGACTATAAATATGGATATTAAACGGAAAATTACAGTTTTCGGATGTAATTATATCTAATGATTGTAAAAGGTCTTTACATAAAACAAATCGGTCTACAAAGCATAAATTTAACGAAGCTTCATCGCTTGGACGTGGCTTGTCCCATCATTTAATGAAGATTGAAGAGTGAAATGTGGGATAGAACACCAGCTGTAAATAATTATTACGCTACGTTTGTCGCAAGATTTAATTTATTATTGTTCGCTCATGAAAATACGCGATATGACTTCACACTCGCTGGTAATATTAAATTATTATTTCACCAATATAATCTTTAGCAGTTTTATTTTATGTTTATTTTTTTTACCTCTTTGGACGAAATTCTCACAGTAAATATGAATATTCAGTGGGAATTTAATTTCACTTATTTTATAATGTATATGAATTTTTGAACCATGGGCAAAGTATATAAACAGATTTTTTATATTATTATATTCTTCCCATGGAAAGAAGAGGAACTGTTTTTTTTCCCAGTGCTTTGCCATACTTTGCCCATGATTTTAAAATAATAATATTTTTATTAAAAATTATATTTTTAAAAAAACGTGAATAAACAATTTAAGAATATAAAAAATGCAAAATACAATTTCTCCCTAGATTCAGTTTAAACCTTGTTTTAATTCTAAAAGACGGGAAATAACATTCTTTTGCTTAAGGTTAAATAGTTTTAGAATTAAAAACTTGACTATTGCGAAATTTTTAAAAATGTAGAAATGAGCTTCTTAAATTGGAATTTTAGAACACGATTTAATTAAAAGTAGAGAATGACCCGGAAATTCAGAAGAATTTCTGCAATTGTACGCGACGTCATTTACAATAAGCGGTGTACTCTTAGAATTTCATAAACACTCCAGAAAAACAAGAAACAAAGCTGCTTTTAGTGGATTATAAAAATGAATTTCTTATAAAAATGAAATTGCAATGCACGCGTGACTACATAATAATTAAGTCAAAATTATATTAAACTAATTCTAAATTTTTATATTAAATCTGGTAATATTCTGCTAAAGAGTGTATTTTCAAAATTATGGAGAAGATTATACAAAAATATGATTTTTGTAAAAGAAATTTTTAAAAAAATACTAACTATACTGGATGACTCTTCAGAATTTTTGAGTTAAAAAAGATTAAAAAGGAAGAAAATAAAATATAGTTATTGTTCTCATTTTTATTAAAAATTTACTTTCAAAGTTTAGTGAAAATTGTATAAAGATTTAAATGTCCCACTTCAATAAATATTATTCCCTGAATATCCGTTTCATATTTCATTGTTTTGTCCACCATATTGGATCCAACATTTTTAATTTTTAAAATCTGACTTCAAATTTATAATAAGTAACCCCGAAAGCACCTGAGTTATAAGTTTCAAGCAAATCCGTTAGATTTTTAATATTTTCGTGCGCCATTATGGATCCGCCATGTAAAATTTTTAAAATCTGACTTTATATTCGTAATCAGCGACCCCGAAAACCCCCGGCTAACATATTTCAAGCGAATGCTATGGATTTTTCATTTTTTCCGCCATATTGGATGCGCCATTTTGAAATTTGACGTGTTAGAGAAAATTTAACGGAAGATTCGAATTTAGCGTAAAAAAATATGTTAAAACAGGTTCCCACTTTTGCGGGTCCAAAAGTTGACCTAAATTTGTTTTCCTCGCTGTTTAATTTGTTGATTTTACCTTAAAATAGGTATTAAAAATTGTGATTGAAACTTTATTTTATAAAATAGGTAAAATGAAGCAAAAAGTACGTCATCCTTTAATATATACGGAAACATGAAAGAAAGTAAACTGTGGAGGGCTGGCTTTATGAATTCTATAGGTCCTTTTGTCACTTAGCGGTATAAGATTGTCGACTTCAAAGAGGAGTGCACTTCATAGATAAATTGATTTTTGAGGTTATAGGATATAATAAAATGTGTTCGATTCAGGTAACATAATTTATTTAAGTGTTTTCAAAATTTTAGATATTTTTTAAGTGTTGATTTTTAGGTTTAAGATTTTCAAAACTTTTCACAGTCATTATTTATAATTATTTTTCCTAAATTGAAATAATTGTCTTAAAGTAAATGATTTGTAGGTATGCAATTTCGAAGTTAATAAAAATTTTTTTCAATACCCAAATTATTTACGAGAAACATCTTTTTAAAAGCTTCTAAATTCTAATTACTACTCTCGTCATCCCATTCAACAAAAAATAAATATTCAAGGAAATGAATTTATCATTCGGTAATTAAATATTAAAGAAGTTAACAAATTTTTCCGAATCAATCGACACAAATAAATTAAATATCTTCAATAAATCTCGATAATCTCATGGGCTTCATATGTATCGACACCACAGCTGACCTAATACAGAAACCTGCTTAATCTGAAAAATATTTTCGAAATTAATTAATAATTTTCAAAATTATCAAAGTTACAATGTTCGATAATTGATAGAGTTTGGTAAGAGATGAAATTTTCCATTATAAATATTATTTTTTGGTTTGGTTGTAGATTGCACTTTTTATTTTTGTACATTTTAGGTACCTTCAGTACTTTTAGATTGATAAATAAGTCAGAAGCATTTGTGATGTCAATCATAGTATAAGTTTAGAATGAAACTAGATTAGGAAAGAGAATCTAGTTAACGGATCTGAGTTTGCGAGTAAATGGATTTCATAGGTGTATAAAATGATGCCTACAGTTAGGAGTGAGATTTTTTGTCAAGCTTACCGTGAGTTCTCTTCATGATTTCAGTGATTGAAAATTTTGGATTATTTTATTTAAATTATTCTTTTTGCAATAAATTCCATATTTAGTTCAATGTAACGTTTCTCTATTTTTCCAAAATGAAATTCATGAACATTTTCTTACTATCGATTTGTCATAATTTCTTGAATGTTAGTGAATTATCTCTAAGGTACAGTAGAGAAGAAAGCGAGTAAACTGGTAGTCTGCGTGTTGTATCTTACAGTGCTTTTACTCTTAATACGTTAGTGGATCGCTGCGCGCGTAACATCTATTTCCGGTGGTCTGGAGAACGTTCCGTTGCGGTGGGAATCCCTTTTGTATTCTCCCTTCCCCTTTCTTTCCCTTATCATGCTACCTTGCATTCTGCATGTCCCAAGCTCCACGGACTGACTATTCTTACTTTTTCCACCAACCCTCACACCAACTTTAGAGAAGTTTGCGTGTTCGCGAATTAGTACTACATTTAGCTTTGTGGCTTTAAGTTTATGCATTTTCCTCGCGCATTCTCCATTGCCAACGAGTTTCCGGAAAAGAGCTGCTGAGAGACAATTTTAAAAGATGAAGAGGAGAAAATTATGAGGAAACATAAAGGGACAACATGGAAAAGGAAGAAATAAAAATGAATACAATAAGAAGGGAGACTGATAAAACTAGATATAGGTGTAAATCTTCAAATAGAAAACAATGAAAAACACTATTACTCACTTGAGAAAAGTACATTACTTCAATAAATCACAGGAAATAATTCATAAAGAGAAAACTAAATAATTTTCCACCTAAAATTATTTTATAAAATTATAGAATTAGCAAATCTGATGTCTTTAAAACCTTCTCCGAATATGAACATAGAAAAACCTGTGTATCCACTTAGGAGTGTCTTTCAATAATTAATTTTATGTTAATTAATATCCCAATTCATTTCATTACCCTAGGATTTAAATTTTCAATTATATTAAAAATTGAAGTGTTGAAAAAGTTACCGTTATACAAGCAATATATATGTAAGTTACAGACATAACAATATTGGAAAATAAATTAAACGAAATAAAAAATTTTTTAATAAAGTGAAAGGAAATTAAAGGAAACGAAGTGAATATAAAGAAAAGAAATGAATGTAAAGCAAAAAAAAAGAAATAACTGAAGGTAAAGGAACATAAAGAATAGGAGAAAAAAGTCCAGAAGGAAATATTATAGACCGGAAGTTTCAAAGAATATAACCCAGGTCAGCGATTGTCGTTGGTTTGTCGGAGGAATTGCTTTCTAAGTCGTACGTTTCACTACTATCAGACGATTATCGACGAAATATGTTGTCACTAAAAAGATCGCTTTTTACGTTCTGAAAGTCGATAAGAAGTAACTGCTGTTATCAGCAATGGATGATTCTCTACTAGTTTTATGTGCACTTATGCACCCTTATTTCTCGAAAGTTATATAACCAGGCTGAGAAAACTATTATACTCTTTATTCATCCCCAAGTACCATGTGTTTGAAGAAAAAAAAAATTCCTATTAAGTTTCTACAAAAGCGCTTCTTGCCGAGACACCATTTTCACACACAACAGCATTTTTACATTACACATTCCACACATATTATACTTTAAAAGAATTTATAACCATGGTAAAAAAATATCGTAATCTGTAAATTATTTACCTCAATGATACTGATAAATATCATAAGAGAAATCTGTAAATTATTTACCTCAATGATACTGATGAATATCATAAGATAAGGCGGTCGTATGCTGAATTTTGGTTTCCGAGGTGGTATCGAATGCCTGGGAATGGGTTTTGGTATGAATTCTTCTTCGCGTAATTTTTTATACATTGGACTGATCATTATTGATGAATCTGGTGAGTATGGGGGTTCAGTATCTGGATATGTTTGATCCGAGTCTGAATAAGTGATTGTCGACATGGTCGGAGACTCCTCCAGCAAGGCGGCTTCCGCGTCCATGTTGGTACCTGCAACAAGAAAAATAAAAACTTTCTATTAAAAAGTTATTCCTTTTGAAACAAATAATTAAATTAGGTTACATTATGAAAAACTAATTGTAAATAAGATCGTGACACTTTAAAATATGATGAATTGAATCAAATATTCTTTACAGCCTGCTTTAGGTATAAAACATTTTCTTGATTCCCCTAGGTTTCGAGCCTTCTATTCACCTACGCAACTACGAGTGGGTTATAAATTATAAAATTTTTGGTTTAGAATAATATAAAAAGATTTGAACATAGTGACCCTTCGAGTGTTTTAAATCCAATAAGTAATTGATGAATGAAAATTAGGAACATTAGGATGTTAAAATTTGACTAAAAGTTACAATACTGATTGCATTTGTGGTTCGTTAAATATTTATAGACTTTGATCTTTACAACAAAGGAGATATGTAACACATAACCATTCGGGTCTATATTCTGGAGTAATAATCTTCGAACTATTGTCCTAGTCTGCAAACCAGCAATGTCGGACAAACTATTACCTGCGTAACGACTTTGGGATTACACACGGAATAGGTACTTCTGTGGCATAATAAACGCTGTACATCTATACAGATGTACCAATATGGTCTCAAGTAATTCCCTATTTTCATCTCATATTCACCTACGAATTCTACACCCTAAATTACATTACATTTTCTCACTAGAATTTTTAATTTCTAATTTATTTTGACTATTTCTGGTGGAAGGAAATATTTCAAAAAAAACTTGAAAGAAATAAATTAACTAATCTAATAAAAAAGACACTTTTCTCTTTGAATAAATAATCAGTTCAAACTTACTTTCACAAAATTCCAACATTATCAAGGGAATGATGAATATGTTTAGTTAAACGGAAAGCTAATTTATTTCCAAGTTTACTCTCGATGGAAAGAAAATAAAACAAGTTTTGCTGAGAGAGAATAGAACCAAGCTGGTCTTGGACAGTTCAACCTAGATGATCTATGATCTTTGGTGAAAACCCACTAGTTCAAACTGAACCGAACGACCCTAATAATTCAGAAGCAAATTCAATGGACGCTTGAAAACACGATTGGAACAAAGACTTTCATTGGTGAGGACACAAAGAGGTCACGCAAAGTGACCTCAACCACAAGTTCTCTCTCAGCGACTCACAAAATTCTCTGTGTATTCTCTTCTATCCCCTTTGTTTCTTCATATATTTCTCCATTTTCTCACTCTCTACTCTATTCTCTCTATCTCTGCTTTTCTATTTTCCTTTTTGGTTTCTCTCTTTCATTTATTTCTCTATTTTCTATACAAACTCTCAGTGCACGATTCGCATATGCACTCTCTTTTCGGACGCGCTTATACGTACAGAAAGTGTTTTGGGATTCGAGAAGACAGAGAGCTCTACAAAGCCAGAAAGTTTGAAAACTCTAACAGAAACAGGCAGGCACGTCGGATGATAATAATTAAAACGGTTTCCTTCTGTGTTTCAGTATAGCTTTTAGCTAAAAACACGCGATATGGATATTTACTTTAATTTCGTACAAAAATGAGATACTAATTGTAGGTGAAAAAAAGAGAAAAAAATTATTTTTACTTAATATTATTAATGACAAAATTTTCATAGGATCAAAATCTGATTGAATGTGTAGTGGATACGAACAAAAAATATAAAATTTAACATTATCAGCATGAAATAAAAAATAAAATTATTTAAATTACTATGTGAATTAAAATTTCTAAAAGTAGTATGAATATATCAATAACAAGAGGTGGATGATATCTGTCGACAGTCAGAATTGAATTACTCAAAGCAGTCACCGAGAAATTATTAGGATTACAAAAAACAAAATCTAAAAGAGTCATAATCAATATTGTGACCACATGTTGTACCATTTGGGCAACATTGTTTATTCAATAAAACAACAAGTCTTTAATTAGGTATCTCATTGGACGTATTATTAAAATAAATTCCATTCATCAATTCAATAGTTTGTTAATCATTGAAAAATAATAAATTAAAGGGATCCAATTGGTGAGTTCAGTTATTCCGATGCATTACATTGAATCATCAATAAATAGAACTTTGCTGTCTTTGGCGTAACATAATTTTGCACGCTATGAAAACCAAATTCAAATTTGTGTACCCTGATGAATGCAACTCTACTTGCACACCAGTATACACACATCCGGAGACGTAGTAACGAAACCGAACCACGAGCAAATGAACGTGAACAGAGGTGAGTGACTGTCATTGTACAACCAAAACGGCACTTTGGCAACGACTCGCGCATGTTACTCGTCATTAATCGTATAGGAAAGTTCTCACGATCCACTGCTTAATGAAGCATTGACGCGGTTGGTTCTCTCCATGTACTTGTTCCCTCATAATTAACATAATACAGGTCCATTCCAGCATACAAATCATTTGCAACGTAATGCGCTATATATAATCTCGTCCTCTAATTTTAGAAGTGGTGAAAACTAATTCATTTGGCAAAGATAGCAGGAGAGCAGGAGATGATGAAAGTCCGGTAATAGGAGTGTTAAGATTTTTTGGTTAAAACTTCCATCCATTCTGTATTAGCTTTTATGTATCAATACTTTTTATTGTTTAGAAAACTATAGAATAAACACCTATTACAATTAGGCTGATTGCTAATTAAAATGCAACGGAATCACTTGTTAAATTTATGTCAAGTTTTTTAGTCTATCTGTCTTTTTTCCTAGTATAGGATGCAAGATGTCTTATTTATTTATTTGTTTATGCACCCGTCTTAATAAGCTTATCTAGCTATACAAGTGTTATTATATTTGCCTGGACCATCCGTCTAATGGGTTTTCGAGACAAAGGAGAAGGGAACCGTAGACTCATCCAAGTACCGCATTGCATGTCACTTAAACTCGATGATCGCAAGCCAACGAAGTCTCCTTGGACCACATGACCCTTGCCGGATATATGTAAATTATCTCAGGCCATATATTAGAAGTAATTCAAAAATGGTCAGAAGAAAATGATTGATGAACATAAATATCATGTGACAAAAAGGAAGTAAAATATGAATTTGATCCAAAGTCTTGAATTCCATTAACATCTGTGCCAATTTTAGATCTTCTATTTTTATCAACATGGAAACATTCACGGGATCACAAGATTCATCTATTTCAACATCGATTTGCCAGTTTTTGGCCGTAGTCAATCTTATATTAATAACATCCCTTGTCAGTAAACTTGTCGCAGAGGTAACGCAAAATTACAAAATTTATTGCTTAGAAATTCCCATAAACTAAGATCATCTCTTATCCAAAATCTCATCAGTTCGGCATGATATTATTCTAACAGATTAGTTTCACTTACAGTTTGCGAATCTATGGATGAAAAGATCAAAAATTCGAATCGTCCATTTAAAAATGCAAAGTATTCATTGTCGTAATTTTTAATGGAAAAAGGTGTTGAATTAAAAGTGACTATGCTTTTATTTTCTACTTTACTTTTATGGGTTACTTAATTTATTATATGTCGCCACGTGGTTTTTCTTCTTTACTCCTCGATTTGTACTTGTTGATTCCATGAAATACGTCCCCCTCTTTAATGGTGTATTTGTACAAGAACGTTGAACCCTAGGAAAAGTATTGATCGCATGATGGTCAGTTACATACGTCACTCACTGCTCACACATTCGTAGACTGAGAAAATCTTCAGATAAAAAAGACCTCATCATTTTATTTTTTATTTAAATTATGTTTAAGTCTGGATCTTCGTCCAATAATTAACATATTTAATCAGCCATTCTTAGTTTATAGAAAAGGTAAAACCACCTGCACAAAAGCAAAACCCGCTCAGTTTTTGACAAGCAGTATGGTAACTAGAAGTCACCTATGTAAGTCAGTTCTTCTAAAACCCGTGATAAGTAAAAAATTGTAGGTAAAGTCAGTAATATAGAGAAAACATCCATATACAGTATTCGAGTAAAGATCAGTTTTACTCAAACAGAGTGTGTCAAGAGAAAAGATCACCACCAAACAAAAAGGTGGTGATTAACAAAAGGTGATTAACTTGCATCATAGTAAAGGCGCCTAGTCAGTACTGATGAGGAGCATGACTAGGATGCACACGGGCATCTCGCTAATCCAAGAACCATGGTTAGTAAAAGGTGCTATTAGGGGATTTGGAGGGCCTAGTCTCGTTTGTTACAGGGATTGTAGAGCTGCCAAACTTAGAGCGTGTATTCTTACTAAGAGTATCAACGTAACTCTACAGTTGGATCTGTGTTCTGGTGATCTGATGGTAGTGGTAACTGACCTAGAAGGTATAGGTAAGACGGTCATTGGATCGGCATATTTTCCATATGATATTAAAAATAATCCGCCAATTGAAGTTCGCAGGTTGGTGGAATATTGTATGGAAAAAGGACTTCCTCTGCTGTTTGGCTGCGATGCAAACTCACAACATTACGGTGTGGGGGAGCACAAAGGACAACCAGAGAGGACAGGAGTTACTTGAATATCTAATCGGAACGGATTTGGATATTCTTAACACGGGTTCGACCCCGGCTTTTATCAATGCTGTTAGGCAGGAAGTGATTGATATTACTCTCTGCTCTAAAAGTATTGAAAATAAGGTAAGAAGATGGAGAGTTTCTAATGAACCTTCGCTTTCTGATCATTAACAGATTGTCTTTAAGGTGGAGACTGCGGTCCGTCTGGAAGCCAAGTGGATTCGTAATCCCAGGAAGACGGACTGGGCTAAGTATAACTCAGAACTTAGAGAAACACTTTCTGATTTACCAGGTAAGATTAGAGATCATCAAACGCTGGACGAAGTGGCTAGTAACTTTACAAAGGCCATAAAGGCAGCCTGTGAAAATAGCTGCAAACCGACGAAAGTGTTTTCGGGAAAAGAAGCATAGCTGGTGGAACGAGAAACTAGAATGTACTGGGCCTCTGACAAACCTTCCACGGGCTGATTATCGGCCTCGAAGGCAGTTGGCTAATAGGATTGTGACTGCCGA